GAGAGTTGGTGCATAGGCACTGACAACAGTGATATACCAGGACTTGCTGAGAGGAAAGTGGAACTTCATAACACATTCATTTATTCCAGTGGGTAGAGGTGTTCTTCAGCAGAGCAGTTTTGATTGCAAAATCTACTCTGTGTCCTGTTGTCAGTCTGTGGTTTCCCTTTCCAAAAGGAAAAAAAGAGGGGTGCTACCCCTCCCTGGTTAACAATCATATTAAATAAATAATAAACTGACATACATACACACACACACACACACAGACAGTACTACTAGGGAGAGTTTGGAAGAGAAGAGGAAAGAAACAAGTCTCTCTCAATTGACCTTTCTCTCAATAAAATGAATAAACATGCTTTTGAATTGTACTGGTAAGGCAAACATCAGGCTGAAATCTCTCCTTGACCATGAGGTTAACGGGATGATTTTGTGCTAGTTGTATTTCTCATTTTAAACTGTCCCATACAAATTATACAGGTAAAATGGAGGGCTATATATGCACTGTGCTGAGGAAGTTTGAAGGTGGAGAGATAGATAACAAAATCAGCAAATAACAAATTGCTCTTCCCCCAACAAGCATACAGTTTCTAGCTTAAGCATCATTTTTATAGGAAAAAAAAATCATGATCACATAAGATTTGAAAGAAGTCAATAAAGATACCCAGATTGCAATTCTATGCTTCCAAGCATTGAAACAAATCTAATTAACTTTAGAATAAAAGTGCACTGGAGTACACTGCCAGGATTTAAACATATTACAAAGAGAAATTTATCACAAGGTCTGCAATCTGATACTGAAGATAGTAAAAATAGGTAGTCTGATTCATCACATCACCAAAAGCATATTATTCCTGTAAATTTAAGACGGATTTAAACATACCCAGAGACTGAAGTTGATTCTTCATAACCCGTATTTATCTTTGTTCAGATTTAGTTTTCAAGACTGAAACAAGTTCCTGTGGAATCAAGAATATACTAAAACTGGGCTTCTCTCCCTTGTAGCTACACAGGAACTTCTACTTTTCACTTGATGAGGGATTAGAAGAATAAAGGAAACATCACACACTTGACATTCCAGGCATTGCAAGCATACCATGTAGGGCAGTTACATCCTTTCATGTGTTTCCCAAGCCAAGAGTCAGCTACAAAATCTGCATTCTTCTAAATAAGAGTAGATTACTAATAATGAGTACTGTAGAAAGGTTCATTAGGTATGCATGCTGTCTGGAAACATGCTCCAGGCACAGTTGGACTATAACTGGATACACAGTTAAATTAGTTAAATCTCACTGACTTCACTGAGTTTTATGCATGCTGACATATAACAGCTGCCTTCTATATACCAGATTTGTACACTATCCAGTCGGATTAGGCCTTCTATATTTTTAAACTGGATGAAACTTGGAATCATGTTTAAGCAGCCAAGCCGAAGAATGATAGGGCACATGGGGCTGATAAAACATATAAAGCAAGGGTTGAAAATTGTGGTCTCCATATTGTGCACGTCAGTTCTGTGTATGTTTTACCCTTTCATAGGAGTTTGATGCAAATAAAAAATAAGGCTGCTATTTCAGCAGCTACAAGTGGGACTAGTAATAAGACGTAAAGTACAACTGGTGACTTTTCAAACCACCTCCACTCCATGTCCTGTTTTTCCCCTAAATTAGTCAACATTTTGCTGTCACTGAGCATATTTATACCTCTTTAGGTACTTTCAATTTCCTTTCCAAAAATTGACTAAACTTTTGTAAACTGGGGGATTTCCCTGCGAGTCTGATGATGTCATTTTGCCTACCCACCACTGGAAACAGCACTCAGTTCTGAGCACTGCAACAGAAAGAGGGAACAATGCTATTTTTTAGTTCAGGATCCAGGAAGCACAATGGGTCTACACTTCAGAGCTCCAGTACTTATTCAGGAGTGAACTCAGTTGAACTAAGAAAAAAAAAGGCAATGTAGAAAAGGATAGAGGTTTATGAAAAAGAAAATGTTACCTGAAAATAATATCCAGGCTCCAAAATTCATGCAAGTTTTCAGGCAATAGCAGAACTTACAAAAGTATTTCTAAAGCATGACAAATACAGAGCTCATGAATATATTAAAATTCAAGAAACCCCCAATTTAAGAATTGGCTGGTGGCATCATCTTGAAAGGAGTGTCTGTTAATATTCAAACCACACAGAAATGGGCTAAGAAAGACATACCGTAATTCACAAGGCACAACTTCATCACTAACTTCAAAAAGGAGGCAAAAGCTGAAATAACTGTATCAATCTCTACTTTCTCTTATTTGTAAAATATGTTCTGTTCACAATAACTTAGTCTGACAATTACTTGGATTCATCTTTTACTTATTTTACAATAGGCAAGAATATTAACTGTTTTTCCTAATTTGTCTTAATATATTCCATTTAAATTCATCTTAATATACATTCTTTTACAATCTACTGTGGTTGTTTCCATTTTAAAGTAAGGTGGTTCTGGAAGAAAAAAAGATTGGCTTTCCATTTCCTGCAAGGTGTATTTGTAAACAAAATGAGATTTATTTCCTGCATTAACCTGTAAATGAGCCTTTCTCAAAGCAGGGGTCACAAGATAAAGGATGGGAAGGGATGTCAGGAGGTTGCTTTTCTTTGTGAGCAGGCTTACCAGTTTGATGCAAAACCATACTGAGAAGCCTTTTTGCTTTTTTTGAACATGCCACCTTTCCTTTCAAAGGGAATAATCAAAGTTGGAGAGGCAAAAACTTCAGTGAAAAACTCTGATCTTCACTCTACAGACAGAATTACAAACAGGAGAAGGGGAAGGGGAAGGGGAAGGGCTGAGATTATCGGGGAGAGAGTATCAAAAGCAGCAAATTTCACAAGCTACAGTATTTTAGAAGTTCAAGAGAAGCTGATTTAAGGCAAAGAAATACCCTTTTATTTCCCATCTGGCCTTAGTGTATGAAAGTGTCTGTCTTCAAAATAAAATTCAGATTTCAGAATGATGCAAAAGCAAGTTCATCTTTCCCATTAAAATGGATTTTAAATTTTGTTTTTTCTTATTTCCAATGAGAGGGTTTTATCTTTATAAAGCTATATGGTTTTATCACTGTTTTGTTTGATATACAAATTAAAAGTGGCAAATTTATTTTTTGCCCAACCTTAGCCCCACTGATCTGGGGGGCAGGGGAGGTGGTTGTCACACAAATTCATGTTATCATTTAAAGGGATCATGTATTTACATTGTTTAAGAAATCCTCTGTATATTTTTCCAAGAGAAGTCTGCTTAGTCCCAGAGGGATATGAGGAGTGCCAAGGGATTGGCAACTGATCTAGTTCTTCCTCTTCCTTTCCTTGAACTAGAGCCAATTTGATCTAGCGGTTAAGGCACCAGGGTAGAAACCAGAAGACTGAGTTCCAATCCCGCCTTAGGCATGAAAGCTGGCTGGGTGACTTTGGGCCAGTCCCTCTCTCTCAGCCCAACTCACCTCACAGGGCTGTTGTTGTGGGGAAAATAGGAGGAGGAGGGAGGAGCATTAGGTATGTTTGCCACCTTGAGTTATTTATAAAGGCAGGATAAAAAAAAAGTTTTAAAAAGCCTATATATGACTGAACATCACATTTTTAAAGAGGTTTTCTCAAAGAAATTCACAAATTCCATGAATAAAGAGAAATACTTCATTCTTATGATTCACAATGACATGATGGAACATAACAATGGCTAAAATAGAAGGCTTCAGATGACATCTTTCAGTCTGCTGGTTGGCTAAGAAAAGCCCAGCCTAGAGCTCCAAATTGTTATTAGGATTTTCCCTAAAATACCCACAAAAACACATTATTAAAGTGAAAGCTACTATTTTAATTATAGAGGCCTAATTGAATCAGGGACGCCATCAGAAAGGAAATGAGGACACAATCCTACCCCAGTTATGATCTTTTACTTAAAATCTTTTGTGGGGGGGAAAAAAAAGTCTGGAATGATGACGCCAGGAATTCATCTGCCAGACCCCGTTTGGTTTTGAAAAAGCTCAGCAGGATCAGATCCTGTTAGTACTCCGATAGGAGAGCGCCAGAAATTCCAGAGCTGTTAGACAAACAGCTTTTGTATTATTGCCAAGTACTGTAAACTTCCGGGAGTTGTCGGTGAAATCACTTGCAAAGCTCTTCCCCAGGAGTTTTTGTTTTACTTCTATTAATTTTACACAGGCGCTTATAATTAAATATAGTCTGCTAAATCTCTGAACTTCTGAGTAAACACACGAACAGGATCGAACTGTACAGCCTCAGGAGCTGCTTTGAGTTTTTAAGGCGAAACAAAACAAAGCATCGGGCCCCGCGTTCTTCCCTCTTTAGAGAACACAGGCCTCGCTTTCCCGGAACATAAAACGCTCCGCGCCTCCGGATAACGCCGAGGACCCTCTTTCTCTTTTTTTTCCTGTTTTTACAAAAGCCCCCCTCTCCTTCGCTACAGGACGTACTACCACCGCAATAGCTTTGGTTTAAATGCATGGGTAAAGTCGTCGTGTTTCCGCCGCTTCTCGAAGGTACTTTTACGCATTAATAAAGTCCCTGTGTTCCGCGGGGCCCGCTCTCAGCCACAGCCTTCCAGCGCTGCTCGCTTGGGACGGCACCGCAGCGTTAAGAAGGCCGCACCCTTATTGAATTCAGTGGCGCTTACTTCGGAGGGCGCCCCCTTTTTTTTCAGGCAGAGATGCGTGCGCCACTTGATTCACGGGTCCCCTGAAGCACAGTCGGAGCTAGCCCGTACTTAGTCGCACGGCCGCCTCCGAGAAGATGCCGGCTTTTTCGCTTCTCTTCTCGAGCCCGGCGGCGAACGCGCCAGCCCACGGACGCCCCGTTCCCCACTCGGCTTCTCAGCCAGCTCTACTCACAGCCCGAGCGCCCTGTCCGCTCTGCACCTTCTTAATATGGTTGCCTTGCCCAGTCAGAGAGCGCCGTCGCCCAGCTGTACGCAGCCAGTCCTGAACGGAACTTTCAGTTTGGGAGCCGCCCATCTTAAAGGCCTTGGCGCGCAGTTCCTCAGTAGACCCGAGGAGTGAGGGGTAGGCTGGCCCGTCGATCGCAACGCGTTTCTTTTTTAGCGCGCGGAGAGAGATAATTGTATTTGTAATTACAATTTGCGTTGAAGTTTGTTTTTAGTAGTGCGTACCATGTTCTACAACCGGAATATATGAATATGCTGCTTTATATCCCCGATAGCTCTAGACCTTTCAGTTTGGGAGGGGGTCGGATAAGCCCAAGCGAAGCTTATCATAACAGTTCTTACTATGATGTTCTAAAAGGAAGCCGTAGCTATTTCTTCAGAAGATATATCTCCTGCTTGTGTATATGTCCTGCTTTTTCTATTACATACCCACAAAAGTTAACACCCTACTTAAAATGTCTTTATGGAATACTTGTATCCCAAACTCCTCCTTAAAAAAGATATTTAAAAGAAACAAAAGTAAGTCACAATTTGTGAAACATGCTGTAATAGTACACTACATGCAGTACTTTCTATATTAAGCAGTCTTATTTCAAGCCTTTTAAATTTCCTATATGCTATAATGGATATTCATTTTCTCAATTATGAAACAAAATTCCGCCAATCCCATAAAACAACAGTTCCCCAATTTATTTATTTTTTATTTGAATTTTAGCAGAGACTTTCTCAAACAGGGTGATGACCAAAATTTAACTTTACCAAACTCTTTTTCAAGAAAAAGATTGTTCAGATACTTCCATTGTTAATTTTTGTGGTAATTATTTCTGATGGTATAGCTTTTAATACGTAGTAAACTGTAACAAAAGTTTATGAGCCACCTGAAAAAACAATTTTGGCTTTTGATTATAATATGAAACATATTTCAGATAAAAGCTAGCATAAAGTAGAAATTCTGCTGAAAAAAAAGCAAAAGCAAAATTAGTCTTTACCTGTTTTAATTTTGCTCTACCTTAGCAGTTTAAAATTTGAAAGTCTTATTTCCTCACTGTTGCTCAAAAAACAGTTTTGGAATTATGTTCACCCAATTCTCCTGCAAGTATGCTACTGATGGTGATTGTAAAATGTTCACCCAAATTAGAAATCCTCACAGAAGCAGGTATAAAAATAGGTAAGGGAAACCTACTTTGGAAGTAGTAAATTTTAATCTGTTTAGAAGTTTTATGTATGCTTTTCCTTATAAAGGGAAAAAAATAATTGTTGAGAAAAGCTGAGAAGGAAATCAGCTCCTGTTCTTACAGTCTTTGTGTACTTACAGCTATTTATACAAGTTTTGACTAATTAATGCATTTCTTTAAAAAATCACTGTCATTGACTTCAAGATGGTGGTTCTTAGTATGGCTAATACATTTTTTCTCAAGGCCTTAACAGAGGCTAAGATAATAGTCACTACGCTTGTTAATCAACTTGCCACTGCATGAAATGGCCAACAACTGGATAAAGCATTGAATATAGAATTACTTTTCCAGGTTTTGTTTTTCTACCATAGCATAGTTTGTGATTTGCACTGAATAATAATTTCAGTTACTAGTATGCAGTTAGCTCTTGCTTATTATTTTGTGTTTTTTTGTTTGTGCTGAGGAGAAGACTGCTCTAACAGTGGCAAACTTTTATTCTTGGGGGAGGGGAGCATTAATTAGATTAAGTTGGCAAATATCATGGTTTCCTTAGAGGAAGAAGATGTGACTCTGGCAGACTGCCAACCTGTTTTGGGAAAGCAGAATTGCTCTCAGCTGACAGCAGATACTTCTGCTAATGAATACAATCCCACATTATTGTCAACCACTCTGATAGAGATGACTTGTCAACTGATCTTGGCCAAATGCCAGGTCCTAACTAGGAGAAAGTTGAAAAGAACTGAGGAAAGATGATCCCTGTGCTTTTTAGAAAGAGACCTTAGGCTGAGGTGGGATTTGATACCATATGAAAGGAATCAAATAAACCAGCTTTGATGCTAACAAGTGTTCTCATCCTTTGACAGGCATATAGCTTCTCTTGAACTCCTGGACCCTTGGACTTACTTGTTTTGACAGTTTATCTTGTATTTGTGTCCAACTCTTACTTCTAGGACTGGCCTTTGTGATTCACTAGTTTTAATCTTTTTAAAGTTTACCTTGTAGTCATGTTATCTATTTCCTTGCTTCTCTATTCAATCTGACTTTTAACAGAAGATTGACTTTTTCAACAAATCACTTAGTCTTGCCAGAACAGTAAGTATGAAGACTTACCCTTACAGAAGTCATGTTAGTTCCTTTTCAAAAATACGACTTTTTCCCATATTATCTGATTATTGTATGTTTCTTAATATTTTTACCATTTTATCCAAAACAGGTATTAAAGCTAACTGGCCTATATCCTGGGTCCCTCCCTCAAATCTCTTTTTTAAAAAGTGAAAGTGCTTTGGCTACTTTCAAATCCTAAGGGATAGATGCCAACCTTAAAGAAAGTCAGCATTTTCATTTTTTTTTCTTTTCAAATTCAAATATGACTTAAGTTTGGGTATCTTTCATCAATCAATTTATCTTTAGTTTCAGCATTTGGCAACAGTAGATCTAGCAGCTAATGGGGAAAAAATTATTCAAAATCCTAACAGAAATATAATTGCATATAGTAAAAGGGTTAGAAATAAATTTTGATAAGATCATGTTAATCAGCAGAGTTACAAAAATGGCTTTAAGAAGCTTACCAACTTCTTATCAATCAGGTGAATTTAGATATTTAGAAGTAACTATTTAAAAGTTTTAACATCAGTTCAAGAAAGATGATAATCTGCCCTAAATCAAAATGGCAACATCTGATATAAATCTGTTTAAAATGATCTGATCCAGGTGCCTGATGGATCTGGGTGCTGTTCTGAATATACTTGGGCATATTACCTGATTTGTTCCCCCTCTTCCTGCTTGCCCCCATTGGCTCTATTTTGCAGATGTCCCAATACAGGTAGTCCTCACTTATCAATTGCAATCAGGACCAGCAACTCCGTTGCTAAGTGATGCAGTCATAAAGTGAAAAGTCACATGACTGCACCCGACTTATGTCAGTTCTTCAGTTCCGGCTACAATCATTAAGTGAATCACTGCAGGTTGTTAAGCACAATGTCACATGACCGTGACTTCCTGCTGGCTTCCCCATTGTCTGCTTGTTAAAAGCTAGCTGTGAAGGTCGCAAATGGTGATTATGTGACCACAGGATGCTGCAACCATTATAGATGTGCACAGGTTGCCAAGTGCCTGAATCATGATCACATGATTATGGGGACACTGCAATGGCTGCAACTTTGAGGACTGGTTGTATGTCTCCTTTTTCAGCACCATCATAACTTCAGTCGCTGAACAAGTGGTCAGTAACCTGCACTTTGGTCAAGGCTAAGAGGCCAAAGATAAAGACCTAAGGGTAACCTTTTCAAGCAGGCATGACCTAAGGTTGTTCAAACATTATTTCACTTAGATTGTGAATTTTAGCAAGGTAATGGCACTTCTAAGGAAAAGATATGGCTTGAGGGCAAGAAGTAGTCATCAAGTAAGATCAATGTTGATTTGAATCTTCTTTTTTAAGCCAAAAGGGAAGGATAATTTAACATAAAAAATAAATACGAGATAATTTTTCTGATGTTGAATGTGAAAGAAAGGAACTAAAATTTAAGACTATGGTACAAACTACAATTACCAGAGTTCAAGTTTGTCCTGCTACTGTTGATAAATCCAATCCAATATTGGGATAATCTAATATTTGCATACTATGTTGCAAACTCTGAATGTTTCACCTTTTAGTTTTAGATCTTTCTGCTCTCTTCATAGCTACACCATTTAATCCATTGCTTCCCCTATATTTCTTTGAACTCCTCTTTATCTGTCTCATTGAATACATTACATTCCCCCCAGTTAACCACTTGTAATGACTGAATATCAAGGAAGTGTTTGCCTTGAATGCCATGACTGTCAAATATTATTGAAAGTAGTAGTTATTATTATTTTGGACTTCCAGAAGACCTAAGCCTATTTGATAACCTATAGCATTCAAGGTCCTGACAGAACTGGTGTTAAAGGAGGCCACAGTTCTTAACAGGCAATATCTCACATCATTGGTTGGCAAATTTGTCCATGCCCAGCTAATCTGTTGATTTCAGATCAACAGCCTGGGCAGTTCACCCTATTGCTCCTAAACATCCTCTTTAGTCTCTCAGAGCCAAATCAGGCTGTTGGTTTCCTAGGGAAGAAAGAGTAATGGTGGATGGGATGTCAACTGGAGTACAAGCAGAACTGTTGGGAAGGATCTGATTATGTAGTGAGTATCAGGCCTAGCCCAAGGAACTCCAAGAGACAATGCAAAATCAGTTCAGCTATGTTTATT